GCGGCGCTTCGCTCTCCTCGCCTTCCTCGCCCTCCTCGCCTTCCTTCCTCTCTCTCATTGCTATTCTCCCTCCTTCTTGTCCTCCTCGTCCTCCAAGTCCTCGTCCTCCGTACCCTCCTCATCGCCCTCCTCCTGCTCTGCCCCCCCCCGCTCCTCCCCCCCTGTCCTCTTCCCCCCTTATTAATCGCTTCGCTCATTCCGCCGGCCCTGGAGCGCTATTTGGGGCCTCTTGGGGCCGTCTTGGGGGCTTCTTGGGGGCTTCTTGGGAGCGTCTTGGGGCTCCTTGGCGGCGTATTGGGCTCCCCTGGTGCCTCTTGGGGGGCTCTTGGGGGCCCCTTGGGGCGGGAGGGGGGGTAGTCGTTGGCAGCCCCCCCCTCAGAGGCCACGATCCTCGTGAGGGGTGGCGAAAAATAGCCTCCCTCCTGGGGATCGCCCGGGGGTCAGCCGGGGATCGGCCAGGGTACTTTTCGTCCGGGGCCCCCCAGGGGCCGCGCCGCGCGCGCGAACTAGAAATATTGTTAAGTAGTTGCCGGAGATCTTAGCACGCCTCTGGCCCGTTGGGCCGGCGAATTTCCCTCCACGCTCTCCTCCTTGTCTTTTTTCTCGTCGTCATCCTCAACCTCCTCATCTTCCTCGTCCACCTCCTCCTCCTCCTGCTCTTCCTCCTCGTCCTCCTCGTCTTCCTTCTTCACTCGCACGGGTAGTGCCTCGACATCCGTCCCTATCCTTCTTATTGCGAGGGCGAGAGGAATTTTACGATGGTGACTTCATAGTGCTGTGGTGGGATGGGAAGAAGGAGTTGGAGGAAGAGGGGGAGGAGGAGGATGAGGCCCCGACGGCCCCGAAGGGCCCCGACCGACCTCAAGGGCGGCCCCCGAAGGCGCCAGATTGCCCAAGAGAGCCCTAAGACGGCCCCAGCGTTCCCCCTTTCCTACTCCACGCGCCCCTCCAGCCTCTCCCCTGCCGCGGGGGAGGGTGAGGACTGCTCGTCTCCCTCGTTCTCCTTCTCTTGCTCCTCCTCCTCCTCCTCCTCCTCCTCCTCCTCTTCACCCGAGTAGTAATGAAGGGAACTGGGAACTGGGAACCGGGAGCCGGGAACTCGGAACCGAGAACCGGGAACGGGGAACCGGGAACTGGGAACCTGAATATGTATTCAAAGAGATCGAAACGCACACCGTGTATCTATACACATGTATGAGTACACGTATGCGTTATGCATAAGTATGTAAATTTATGTGTGTATATATACACGTGTCTCGTTGTAGAGAGGGAGGGAGGTAAAGAGAGAGAGAGAGAGAGGAAGAGGATTACAGGATTACACATTTGCATTCATTTGTGTACTATGTTTACATGTGTACCGTTGCATTGACGGTGGAGGCGTTTATTAAGGAGTAGTTCCAGGAGGCGCCAGACCTGGAGGATTCCTTATTCAATGAGGGCGGCGGTGATATCCATGGCCGATCCCCGATTGGAGTTCCACTGGCTTCCAGACCCCGGATTTCTTATCTAAGGGTTCCTTATCCAATGCCTCCACCGTGTTGGCGTTTTCCATTCAGACTCAGTCACACATATATATGTATGTCCTTGTTTGTACGTCGATAATGTTGTATCCAGTATACATACATGTGCACAGGCATGTGTGTACATACAGATGCTTGCACGAAAACATCTGATATCGTACAACTATGTATTTATATACGTACATATATGGAGAGAAAGAGAGAGAGAGAGAGAGAGAGAGAGAGAGAGAGCGAGAAAGAGAGAGAGAGAGAGAGAGAAAGAGAGAGAGGGAGAGAGAGAGAGGGAGGGAGGCACCTTTAACGCAATTGCTTATCTAGTGTATATACATGTGTGCATTCAGAGAAAGGAGAAAGACCGATACACACATACATGTATACATATACACAACGAATGTACGAGCATGTAGTAACATATGCATATCCATAGATACAAGTACACATGCGTCCATTCGCAGGAGTTTGCACATATTTTGGGACAACCTGACGACACATGTAATGCTATCTGAAGTTAGAACGCAGAGAAAGAGAGAGAGAGAGAGAGAGCGCGGGAGGGAGTGAACTAAAGAGAGAGAGAGATCAAACAAGAGAGAGAGAGAGAGAGAGAGTGGGCGTGAGAGAGGGGACACGGTCCATACATTTACATGTATAATGTGTACACGTGTATTCGGAGACACACGTACACGCATGAATGTGTATGTATGTATGCGTATGTATGCGTATGTATGCGTATGTATGCGTATGTATGCGTATGCATGCGTATGTATGCGTATGTATGTATGTATGTATGTATGTATGTATGTATGTATGTATGTATGTATGTATGTATGTATGTATGTATGTATGTATGTATGTATGTATGTATGTATGTATGTATGTATGTATGTATGTATGTATGTATATATTTATGTATGTATGTATGTATGTATGTATGTATGTATGTATGTATGTATGTATGTATGTATGTACATACGTATGTATGTATGTACGTATGTACGTATGGATGTATGTGTATGTGTATGTGTACAGACAAACGTGGGAGACGCCAGCCAAATAATATGATATATATAGAGAGAGAGAGAGGATATCTGAGTAGAAAGAGAGGGAAAGAGAAAGAGAGAGAAAGAGAGAGAGAACAAACAAAAGCCTGGAACAGGGAACTGAGCACCTGGAACCGTGGAGAACCCAGAACCGAGAACCACGGGCCTGAACTTGAGAACAGGAAGCCAGGAACTGGGAACCGGGCATTGGGAACCGGGAGCTGGGAGAGCGCGGGGACCCGGGAACCGGGAACTAGGAATTGGGAACTGGGAGCTGGGAACCTGGAGCCGGGAACCGGGAACGGGGAACTAGGAACCGCGGGAACCGGGGACCGGGAACCGGGAAAAGGGAACCCGGGTACCCGGGAACCGGGAACCGGGATTCGGGGCCCGGACCCCAGGAACCATGAACCGGGTACCAAGGGCGGGGGACCAGGGAAGCGGGAACCGGGATCCGGGAGGCGGGGCCGGGGAACCAGGAGCCAGGAATCGGGAACGGGGAACCAGGATTTGGGAACCGGGGACAGAATCGAGAATTGGGAGCCGGGAGTGGTGTACCAGGAATTGGGTGCTGGAGGGTCCAACTCCTTCGCGCCATGGGTTCCATGCGCACGTCGAGGCACGCGTTTGCCCTCCTGGGTCCGCGTAGTTGGCCCGCAGTATTAGGGTCAGCGCAGCGGGGCCCGCAGAATTAGAACCTGCATCGTCTCCAGATGTGGGTGTTTCGTCGGCGGTCCCAGATCCGGATTGAATTTGCCGTTATCTCTCACAACATTCGTTCGCTGATGGATTTTGATGCAAGGTTTGAGGATATTTTGGCCAAGGTGGGGGCAATGCGCTGGGGCCTTTGCATTCACAGAAACATGGGGATAATCCAAAAACGGTGTTTACCACGGAAGGGGGGCACGTGGTTCGAAAGCGGAGGCGCCAAGGGATCCAACGGCGTAGGTGACTTCCTGGACCGCTGGTGGGATTACATGTCCTCCAAGGCGGAGCCTGAGCGAGTGGCGATGCTTACGTTGCGTTGGGGCACTTCGAACGTCAAGCTAGTGGGGGTGTAATGCCTCGTTCCAGGTTTGCTGATAGTCGTGTTGAGGCAGTTTGCGAAACTCTGGGTTCGCTGTTATCGCCTTGAAGATCTATTTTCCTTTGGATTTCAACGCGGAGGTGGGGCCCATATCGCAGCGCGATGATGAAGAAATGGGCGCCCTGTGACCGAGCCCGATAGGGTCGAGGATTCAGCGGGGTGAGTGGTTAGTGCATTGGTGCTCTTCTTCCTCGCCAACGCGTTCGACGATGGCGATCCTGAGCAACTGTGGACATGTGCCACTTGATCAATCCAGAAACACTTTGATTTCTTCGTTGTCCCGGTTGCGTGGAAGCTACATGTGTTCGGAAGTGCAATACGCTTTCCGAAATCGACGCAGGGTCGGGCCGCGGGCCGCTCGGGATGGGCGTGCTTCTTGGCGCAAGTATACGAAAGAAGACACGCGCTCCAAACCGTCTTGGGGGCCAGATGTGGACGCGGACAGCTGCGAGGCGTGCGTGGGTTGTCTACTGCAGGAGCGGCCTGCCGGTGGGGGTGCCCTTCTCAGGCAACAGCTAGAATTGAGAACGTTGCGGTGGAAAGTTTGGCTTTGATGCGCCCGCGCGCCCGGAGGAAGACAGCCGAAACCCTGGAAGACAAGGGCGGGCGTCAATTCAGGCGGCCTGCAACGCATTCGGGCCAGGACGCGGCAGACCGGCGAAAGACAGCGAGCCTCCGAATCAGACGCTTGGCCCGGGAAAAAAGGTCGAACCAGAAAGTGGCGAAGGTCGGACATATGTTGGTCGATTTCGAAGGGCTGAGCGCAATTGCGCGCGCTGGGGCACCGGCGAGAAGGGGTCGCGTCGCGCCGGTCATCGATGCTTGTGGTGACGTCAAGGACTCGAAGGAAGACGCGGCCTAAGTGTTCGCCTCTTTCGATACGCTCAACGCGAGCCTTGGGGGGCATAGTCGCTCTGGGAAGGATGCGGGCGGCGCGCCGCCAGATTTCAAGATGTTCGAGTGGGCAGAGGCAATCCGCGCCATGAAGAGCGGGAAGTGCAAGGACTCGGCTGGTATCGTTGCAAATGTGCTGAGGAAGAGTGGCCTTAACTGGCGGGGCAGCGCCCCCTCGTTGTTCAACGCCGTGCTGCGGCTAGACAGAGCCGCTTGAATCGTGAAGACGCGCCAAACCGATTGTGTCATTCAACGACGGAGACTCTGCTTATCCGGAGGATTATTTGCCAATAGCGAGTCTTCGTTTCCTGTAGAGTTTTGTTGCACGAATGGTTTGCAATCGCTTGCGTGGTGCCATCATGTCGCAGCAGTCGCCAGACCAGGCAGCTCGCCGCCAAGGTATCTCGACTGAGGGCCATCTACTCGCACTGAGCCTACTTATCGAGAAATGCAGGAAGTGAA